TTGGCGAAAAGAGTTGACAGTGGAAGATCATCTTTAAAAAAATGTGACAGGGTCTGAAAATGATTAGATTAAACCATATCAAATTGCCGATAAAGCATATATCCTACTAATAGATGAGTAACATCATTTTTAAATCTGAAGGAATACATTTTCATTGCCGAAACCAAAACTCTCCAAGGCATTAGATAGTTGTCAAAATTTAACTCAAAATTTTAAAAAGCTGAATAGATTTCATATAACTCAATACTCTTTCCTTCCCAGAGAATATATACATTTTTAAGTATATTTCATAGGCTCTTGGTCCCATTGCTGAATCAGAAGGAAAAAAAGTTATACATGCCTGAAGATCTATGTCACAGTTAACCATAATGAACTTCAGAATTGCCTTTCCAAGGTTTAAACACAACCGAAAATTACATTTGGATAGGATATAATTTATCTGCTTCAGAAAACAAAACATACTAATACCTTACAAAATTAGAATCTTTCTATTCAAAGCATTATTAGAGAATTAAAAACTGTTATAGGGGCCGGCCTGGTGGCGCAAGCGGTTAAGTGGGTGTGCTCCGCTGCGGCGGCCCGGGGTTTGCCGGTTCGGATCCCGGCATGCACCAACGCACCGCTTGTCAAGCCATGCTGTGGCGGCATCCCATATAAATCGGAGGAAGATGGACACGGATGTTAGCCCAGGGCCAGTCTTCCTCAGCAAAAAAAGAAGAGGATTGGCAGATGTTAGCACAGGGCTGATCTTCCTCACAAAAAACAAAACAAAACAAAAACTGTTATAACTATGTTACAATTTCTTCTCTCTACGGAAAAATCTGAAGGTGAAATCTTTTCTAGCATATTACAAGTGAAACAACCTTCAGCATTACTGTAAACTAGAATCTGTATGGTTTTTAAAAGAAGATAAAATACTTCTTAGGACTGTTCTAAGAATTAAATGAGATAATGTATATAAAGCACTTAGCATGGTGGCTAGCACAAATTAAGCACTCAATAAATGGCATTTATTGTGTTTATTCTTATAGAAAGGATGTGGGCCGGCCCCATGGCTTAGCGGTTAAGTGCGTGCGCTCCGCTGCTGGCGGCCCGGGTTCGGATCCCAGGCGCGCACCGACGCACCGCTTCTCCGGCCATGCTGAGGCCGCGTTCCACATACAGCAACTAGAAGGATGTGCAGCTATGACATACAACTATCTACTGGGGCTTTGGGGGGGTGGGGAATAAATAAATAAAATCTTTAAAAAAAAAAAAAAAAAGGATGTGAAACAACCCTAAAAAGTGATCAAGTGACTTAAAAACCTATTAGAGATGTCTAGAAAGGCAGATGGATAGAATCACAGTCAAATATCTAGACTGGAGAATTCAACGAGGAAAGCAATCTTAACTTATTTATCCTTGCAGTCCCAGAATCTAACACAATGCCTGGCACACACAGTAGGCATTCAATAAAGGTTTAGTGAAATGAGGTGAGGATAAAAGTCAGTTACCTGAAAAAGAAAAAAAAGAGGTAGTCTAAGGTTGTCTGAAAAGTAAACTTAGAGTCCAAAAATTACTATTCCCTAAGCAACTCACTTTGAGAAAGGAAATAAAAGACCTAAGCACTTTTATTTTTTTTTTTTAAAGATTTTATTTATTTATTTTTCCCCCAAAGCCCCAGTACATAGTTGTCTGTCATAGCTGCACATCCTTCTAGTTGCTGTATGTGGGACGCGGCCCCAGCATGGCTGGAGGAGTGGTGCCTCGGTGCGCACCCGGGATCCGAACCCGGGCCGCCGGCAGCGGAGCGCACGCACTTAACCGCTAAGCCACGGGGCCGGCCCACCTAAGCACTTTTAGAACCAGGCACAGAAACTCCCCTGAGACTGGTGTTTTTAATAACGACTGAGGCACTCTCAAATATGTGTGGACAAATGTGTCATATATAAAGTCTAATATTAGAGAGAAATATTTTTAAATTTCACCTAAATAAATGTCATGTGCATCCTCAAAGAGAAGAAAAGTACCTAAAGCACTGAGGAACCTTTTTCTAACTTCCATTCAAGGAGAATCAAAAAAACTTAATTCATAGTTCTTCCAAGTATTTATATATAAAAATTAGCTTGAACTTTTACCTACAAGTTGTAAGTACACATATTTCACTTTCACAAGTTCAGTGCACACCTCAGAAAAGAAAGAGGAAAGAAAGAAAATCAACACCCTCAAAAGTGGGCAGTGCATTTGCAACAACATGGATGGACCTTGAGGGTATTACGCTAAGCAAAATAAACCAGACAGAGAAAGACAAAGACCATATGATTTCACTCATATGTGGAAGATAAACAAACACATGAATAAGGAGAACAGATTAGTGGTTACCACAGCAGAAGGGGGTGCAGGGGAGGGCAAAAGGGGTAATGGGGTACATATGTATGGTGATGGATAAAAACTAGACTATTAGTGGTGAGCACTACATTCTTTACAGAAACTGACATCTAATAATGTACACCTGACATTACACAATGTTATAAGCCAAGGTGACCTCTATAAAATAATTAAATTAAAAAAAAGTGGGCAGTACTATAAGAGTACAAAAGAGTAGCTAACAAAACTTCTCTCCCACCTGTTAGAGCCCACACTTACCGCATAGTCTGGACAGTTTCAGAACTCTTTCATACTGAAAACCCAAAATTATCAGTGCAGTGGGCAAAGGAGAAAGTGCAATATGAAAACATAGTCCTATCTTCCCCAGCCTACCTCCATCACCTCACTACAGCACCCCACTCTTATTTGGAAACTGATCAATTTTATGAAAAGGAAAAACCATATCCTTAATAATACACTCAACTCTGTATAGTGTTTGGCTTCTCCAAGCCAGTATAGTACATTTCCAAGAGACAGCTGGAGCTACATCTCCTGAGGCTACTTCAAACTAAAATCTCTGAAGAGTGTGAAGTTACACATCAAATAATAGCCCCAAATCAACTGCTGGAAGGAGGTTTTGAAAACAAAAAAAAATCATCATTAAACACATCCAACTTTCTTAACAAAATGACAATGTTTTTGGTTTCAGGAAAAAAATAACCAAAACTACCAGTCTACATTACAGAATAGTTTACAATAATAACAAAGAACCTGCAATACACAGAGTAAAATTATTTTTAAACCATCACTTGCTTTCTATGGTGCCTTGAAAAGTATCAAATGTACGGAAGGCATGTAAGAGCTACTGTCCAGTCACTGACAGCATTACAATTATTGTTTAATCTAATTTCTGGAAAGTTCTACAGTGGCAGTTTAAAAACCAAACCAAACCAAATTTTAATGAGAAAAAATGCCTAAAATCTGGAAGTACACATTGAAGATATTCAGTTAATTTATTGGTTTTTTTTTTTTTAACTAAGAAGCAGGAAGGTCACAGGCATCAAAGTGTTTAACATCTGTAGGTGGTTCATCCAAAAGAGTAAAAAAGGTCTCTCTGGAATTAAGGATTTAAAATAATACCTTATCAAATATAATCTGACACGATCTTTAAAAATCACTTTAGTGGGTTTTTTTTAACCACTAACAAAGCAAAACCTTCCTATATAAAGATTTGCACATCATACACACACACTCTTTGCAAATTAAGAGTTAAATGTAAATCCAAAACCCTAAAAATTTACCTAAAGGTATCCAAAATACATTTGAAACATCAGACTTTTGTTTTCACATTCATTTCTCAGAGCTCTTAGTAAAGCTCTTCTGGAATGGGTCTTCATTTCAATACAAGATTGTTCAATATGCCATTCCGTGTGAATAGAGCTTGTGAGACTAATTCTCAAAACCTCCCCAGGAGATGCTTAATTACAGTTTTAGTTTCAATTTCCTGCGACTACAACAGCAACGTACAGAAAACTGCTTATACACGATTAGGAACAGAGATGAATGAAGGTCCAGGGGAGCGGCCCATTCTTTTGTTTTGGTGGCAGAAGCTGCAAACATAAAGGTTCACTAGAGCCACCCGCACCTATCCCCACCCATCACAGCCCTGCAGAGCACTTTCATCCATCCGCTCAAGACTCTCTAGCCCTCGAGATCAGCAGAACCCGTGGCTTTCCAAGTCTCAAAGGATGGGCGGGGGAGGCTGTGAGGTCCGGGGTACAGATAGAAAAAGAGGAAGGACACAGATCCTTTGAGGACAGAGGGATAAGGAGATGCATCCAGATGGGGAGGATGGGACGCGAGACCCGGCGGCTTGCAAATTCGCCAGGAGACAAGCCACATGGGGCAGACAGAGGATGTTGCCTGTTCGGGGATGGGGACAAACAGACGGACAATCCTCCACAAGAGGAAGCAGGCACATATGTAGGAGACCCAGGAGGGTGTGAACTAGGCAGCGCTGAACTCGGAGCCCAAAATGGATTGAGACCGCCTCAAACAGACCCGTACAGCGAAGCTGAGACTTACAGTTACTTCCCGGGCTGAGGGTAAGGGTCGGGTGGATCTCGCAGCTCTGCAGTTCTGCCACTGTCGCAGCCGCCCCTAAGTCTTGCGCTGAGCCGGTGACCTGAGGTACCCTCCCTGCCCCACCCACCCGGGCGGACGCCCCCCTCCTCGCTGGCCCGTGTGCGCCCGCTGGGCAGAGGCTGCTGGGGCCGAGAGTGCGCACTGGAAGCCGCGGGGAGCGCTGCGTGAGCCAGAGGCGCCCGCCGCGAGGCTCAGACTGGGCGGGCGCCCCCCATCCCTCTCCGGCCGCCGCGCCGCCTCACTCGGGGGAGGGGAAGAGGGGGCGGTGGCTCTTGCCTCCGCCTCGCGGTTAAGTCCGGCTCATGCTCCAGCCTTGCGCGCGCGCAGCCCGGGCCTCCCTCCTCCCCTCCCCCGCCTCCGGCTGAGCCGCTGCCGCGCCCGCCGCTGCCACCCCAGTCCCCGAGCCGTCCGCCACCAGCCCCAGACAGCCTGCAGCCCAGCGAGAAGCAGCACGAACGGCAGCAGTTCGGCCGCCGACCCGGAAGCTCTTCTGGCGCCAACCGCGAGGCCGCTAGGGGTGTGAACCCGGAAGCGATTTCCTCGCCCCGGTAGCGGCGGGATGGAAATCTAAGGCCTTTGAAGACCTGGAATCCCCTAGTTTCGGGAGAGGGTGAGGGTGTATGGTGCTGAGGTGCGAGAAGAAGGACAGTAAAGAGGCGGTGGACAAGAGGTTCTGCAAGGCCAGAGACCTGAGCTCTCTAGGCGCGGGGTGGGGAGCGCGGCCGAACACACCGGGCGGCTTCTGGTGGCAACCGTGGGTTTTCCTGTCACAGGAAGTTGGGCCCGGCCGCTGGGAAGGAGAAGGGAAGGAGGAATGAGAAAGCGATGACGGTCCCCCGCCCCCCAGGTGACTGTCCCACCCAGTGAGTTGAATGTAGCGGCCCGGGAGGCGCTCGGCCGCCCGCACGGGTGAGACCGCTCGGTTTCCTTGGGGGAAACGAGGAGGAACAAGATCCAGACTGCAGCGAGAGAAAACGAGAGGTGGGACGCTGAACTATCTCATCTAGTTTCTCCAGGCAAGGAGTTTATTTCTTACTAGTAGTTACAAAGAAGCCAAAGCCACTTTTTACATGGCAGCTCTTTGAGCAAAGAGACGTGCACGTCCTTTTCCGGTGGTGCACTTTGATGGGTGGTGGCGGGGGAAAAACCTCCTAGGCAGAGTGATTATTTTTGTCATGTCAGGGAAAGCGATCCACAGCTTGCCGTTCCAGCTCACCTCTCCTCTTTACACCTCTCTTCATCTTTCAAGGCTTTCGGCTTGCTTTCTTTGCTTTTTCTCCAGGCTTTTTTGAGTTTCACCGGCAGTCTTTGATCCAGCTGGCCTGATTCACGACCTAGCCTCCATTCCCTTCTCACTCTCTTGGAGATCTTATGTGTCTTCAGTTTCTGTTTGCAAATGCATCTCTCTGCATCTCCAGTCTTTTAACTGCTTTGATGTTCTCGTCTTATTTGGAGGAAGTGACAAAAACTCAAAAATGTCTTCGTAACAATATAAAAACAAATAATTCATTCCATGATCTTTTTCCTTTACCCCTTGTTAATGTATTAGTTGGTTCCCCCTTAGAATTGCGTTGTAGAACTACAGTAGCAGCTGATGTATAGCATGTTTAGATACACTACGGATGAAATCCTGCTCCCCCAAATAACCTCATTGAATGTACCTGGTGTTCACTGTAGGAATTCATTTGGTTCCCAATTCTAATATTACTTAGTTCCTTCTTTGTTGGCCAAATTTAGTATAATGGCCTTCAAAAGCTATTTGAATATTATTAAATATCTTAAATTTCAGAATAGAATGTCAACAGAAAGAAAGCATTTGAAAATTATTGGTGATGCTTGTTGATACTGATAAGTGATGATTGGTAGGATTGGTTGAAGGGACAAGGAGAAAGCAAGCTGAGTTAGAAGTAGCACCAATGGCTATTTTCTATTCTGCTTTATTATTACTTCCTCTCCTTTTATTATCAGAAACCAATTTGAGTAGCAAAAGGGTGAGATTTTTGTGGTCAACAAATCTCTGTAGGGGAATTCTTGCTATTTAGTTGCTATCTCTTCTCTTTAATGTCATAATGCTTTAAAATAGTGAATTATTCCAGGAAAATGGGGAAGGGGCAAGTAACAGTCACTGTCTACCTTAGTTTTTTTTTCTGTAAAATGGGGATAACAATAATAATACCTATTTCATCAGGTTTTGGGGGGAATAAAATGAGTTAATATATGTAAAGCGCTTAGCACAGTGTCTAGCACATAGTAAGCACTATAGGTGTTAGCTATTCATATTATTTTAAAAATATATTAAATGCTATATTTAGAAAATGAAAATAAAAACTTAAGGACAACTTGTTAAAATCATTTTGGCTGGTGGGGATAAAAAGAAAATACATTTTATTAGTGCTTTTCAACTATGTGGATGGTAAGGTTTGTTTGGTTTGGTTTGGTTATTTAAAGTTGGCTTGGGTTTTAAAGCGTTCAGAAACATTGCTTAAGGACAGAGGAAGGAGGGATCATGTGCTGTCTCAGGAACATCTTACAGAGCCCTAAGATAATGCTCCATTTTTTTGTTTTTATTTATGAAGATACACTTTCTGATCATTGTTGGTAATTTTTATTAGCATGTACTTTGCAGACTGGTAAATCTTGTCAGCTTTGACTTCTGCTTACTAAATTTACGATACTCATATTCACATACTGAATCTTCTCTTTTTCTCCATTGCAAAGGCTTTTTAAGTTTGTCCATCTGTGCTCTATATAGCAAATGTTTCTTATTAAAGACATTATTGGCATTTTGTTAAACAGGACTGTCTAGCGTAGTAAAGAAACTGTAAACAAATCTGCCCCATAGAGACTAAATGCCAGTTGTATACCTCCCCTCCCCCAGTCATAGTGACAACCACAAATGCCCCTACAAATTTAAAATGATCCCAGGTAGGTACCACCTCCAATTGAGAACCACTTCTACATATTTGTAAGACCTCATTACTTAGGCAGCATATTATCATTTATGCCTAAGCATTTTCCAGGGTAGAATGAGCCATTTAACAAAATGCCACATATTTCCTATAGTTAGTCACTTGAACGCTTATTTAAAACTCAGTTTAAATATGTTGCAAACTTCAGTTATACCTTTCTCTATTATTTTTAGCTCAAGTTACTCTCCTCCAACCCCTTTGCATGTGTTTCCGCCTTAGCAGTTTTGCCTTCATGTATTACTAGCTTTTATTCTTTTCCTAACTTAAGCCTTTGTTTCCTTGTTTCATGTCACTGAAAGTATGTATATTTCAAATATTCGAGTATGAATATTTCTTAAAAATCGGTTTTTAGATTCTTTTAGGGGTATGTTAACATTAAATGTTGTAAAAACAAATCTTTTTTTTGACCTCATGGTTATGTCTTTTTTTTAATTACATCACATTTGCTTATCTTTTAAAAGTTGAGTGTACCGTGCAATACTAAATATTCTAGAGAAGTGATGAGTATTAACAATTAAAGGATTTTGCTAGTAGACATTTTCTTAACATGAGTTGATCAGCAGAGGAATTGATTTGCTTTAAATTGTGTTTAGAAAACTAAGAATTACATGATTCTCTTTTAGGTGTGTAATAGAAAAAAAGATTTCTGTAATTGTGCCATGTATGTTATACAATGTATTCACAATACAATGTCTTTCTTTTGGGGGCTTGCAATCTTCAAGGAGGCATCCCTACATTTCCTAATTTGTGAGGTTTTATCTTGAAGTCATTGTTAATCTGAAGTAAAAAGTAATTGCTAAATAGAAATTCTGAGAAGAAAAAGGCCTCATCCTTTTCACGTAGGAAGCTCTGTTGCATGAGGTAGGTTTTAAGAATGATCTTACAGAAAAACTGAACTGAAAAAAATTCCGTGAGGTATAGAGTGAGAATAAATGATGTGTCCTCAGAACTTTTCACAAAATGAAATGTCTGAATCCTAATGTTTTAATGTAGTTTCTCTGGTGAAATATTTATAGTTTCTCTGAATCTAAATCAGTGAAAATTTTTATAATAAAATTTTTGGACAATAATTTTAATGGTTCTTTTACTCTTAGGCTAACGTTTACTTAAAATGCCAAAAGTTACTGGATTGTAAAAGAATTTCTTTTTAAGGCAATTTTCCAATTATAAGGTATTTATTATTATTATATAGGGTAGTGAATTAAAGGTTCCAAAATAACTTTATTAATTGCACTTGAGAAGACAGAATAAATTCTTTGATCTCCTCTCAAATGACATCGAAAACCTTTCTTGGAAATGATCTCTTTTTTTCTCTCTGAGAGTTGGAACAATAAGGAATAACTGAATGTGGTCGCATTTGGTCTTGCTGAAGAGAACATTCCATCCGTTTGGTGGAATTAACTGTGTTTAGTCTGATCTTATGTGCTTTTTTTAAAACAAGCAATGCTGCTTTCTAGGTCTCATATCTTTCTCTTTCTTGGATTATTTACTTCTTTGTGTTGCTTCGTTAAATCTTCGTTAAATAAGATCATTTTAATGCCTAATGGGCTTTAAAAAAACTAAAGAAGGTTCATCTCAACATGGCCAGGAAAGAAACTCCTTGTTTGATGGTCTTTTAGGAATTTGCTGGCATATAAATGATGGGAAGCTTTTTTAAAAAAGATAAATACAATATATTCAATACAGAGATGCATTTTAGTCTAGCCATGAAAAAAATTAATAATAGTGCTTAATGAGGAGATAGAACTATTTAACAACCAAGAGAGTGCTTGAAATTCAATTACTTGTTGGAAATTGCCCAGCGGAGACTTAAAATCAGTTTGGGAAAAAAAGTGCATATATATACATATATATATGTATATGTGTGTGTATGTATATATATATTTGGATTATCTAGGGAATTAATAATGGAAGTAGAAAATATTCTTAAGTCATCATCAGAAAGCTTTTGTCAAATGACTATGTTTTTGAGTCTGTGATAGGCACCTCCAAAGAAAATTATAAACTATACTTTAGCTTATCCAAATGTCTAATATCAAAGTTCTCCTTTCTAAATATTCTGGAGAGAGTGTCAATGGCAGCTACCTATTTCCAGCTTCCAAACTGTTGACAACATAACATTCACTTGTGTAATTAATGGAAAATAAGTGTGTATTATTCTGAAACACTATTTCAAGTCACTATTTACTTACTATTTACAAGACATTTTATAATCATATCACTTTTTTTTAGGTCCAAAAGGCAGATTCTTACGCAATTAAGACCTATGAAAGTATGTATTCCCATTAAAAAAATTTTATCTCTAACAGAATAGGAAAAAAGGACTACAAGGAAATCTTAAATTATAAGCTAAGGTTTTGAATAGTTCGGTGGTAAGTTAGTCGCCTCTGGCTTGCCTTGTAGGTAGTATGTATATTCTAAGAAAAATCAACATTTTTTAAAACATTGTTTTTCTGAGTGATCATATGTCCTTTAGTCTTTCACGGGATTTGTTTGTTTGTTTTATAAAGCAATGGGAAATCCAGAAAATATAGAAGATGCATACGTTGCTGTTATTCGTCCAAAGAATACTGCCAGTCTCAATTCTCGGGAATACAGAGCTAAGTCATATGAAGTGAGAACAATTTACTAACATTTGATTTGCTACTATTGAATGTCATTCTCCATTATCATTTTCATTTACATATAAAGTCTCACCATATCCTGTAAATTCTAGTTGACAACCTAGATCTTGACAAGGTAGAACTGAAAATCGTAGCTCTCTGCCCATCACTATGTTTTTTTTCTGCTGCATGCCTTTTGACCATTTTTCTATTCTTTGATTAGTATAAATTATTAGATATTAAAAGGTACTTGTTTGAGTTTTCCTTATAATTTATAGATTTAGGTTTTAGTACAACTTATGGAATGGCTCTCAAAAATTAAAAAACCATTGCAAAAGTTACCTTATTTAAAATTCCAATCTAAACATTGTTCTTGGTTATTTTCCCAAAGAACTATTTTTAACAGTTCATTTTAAATGATCTTTTTACCTTTAATTAAGTTTTAGGCAATTAAGTTATTCTCTGTAGTCTTGAATTATGTTACATATATTAGTAAACGTGATTGAGGCCAAAAAAAAGAGCCCAAAACAGAATTGTTATCTTTTCCATACAACGGATTCCAAGCATCATAAAATACTTCTAATCTAGACTGACTCCAACTAATTTCTCTAGCATGTTGCTTAAATTGCTTTTTTAAGGTTAGTTATCTGAAATCTGTTAAAGGATACTACAGGGGTTCTCAGGAGGCTGCTACTTCAGCAGTGCTCTGGCTTACTGGTTCTCAGTCCTGGCTGCACAGTTGAATCACCTGGGGAACTTTTAAAATTTCCAGTACTAGGACTCCACTCTCCAGACATTCTGATTTAATAGGTCTGAGATGAAGCTGGGCATTGATATTGTTTTAAAAGCTTCCCAGATTATTCTGATATGTAGCTAAGGTTAAGAAAGACTGCTGGCTTACTATATTCTAGGGCAAGTAAATTTTATTTTAAACTTTCTCTTGATATTATTTTTTTCATCCAAGATTTTGTTGCATGAAGTTCCCATTGAAGGACAGAAAAAAAAGAGAAAGAAAGTTTTGTTGGAAACTAAACTTCAAGGCAACAGTGAAATAACACAAGGCATATTGGATTATGTAGTGGAAACCACCAAACCAATTTCTCCTGCAAACCAGGGTATCAGAGGTAGGAAACTTTTCTTTTCTTTGTTTAACACAGTTTGCTTTAAATGCCTATGGAGAAAGACCTTTTAAAAAATATATTAAAATCAATTTCTTTTTATGTTCCTTACCATTTAAAACACTTGAAAAAGATTCAGAAAGTTTTTTTTAAGGTCAGCCAAGCCCCTTCAAGAAGTAACTTGACTATAAATTTTTTTTAAGTTGAAAAATATTTAAATAAGTCACAGTGTTACTGATTTGTTCAGTAGAGAGAGGAGAGCAAGAGGTGGCTTGAAAACTAAAAGAAAGTACAAATTACTTTTGTTAGAAGTATAGGTAAGTATCTTTGAACTACTATTTTTATTTCTCTATTCCAAGACAGAGAAAACTATAAACCTCTCTCCATAACTAAGTAAAAGTTAAGATTCATGGATGAAAGAGAGTCCTGTAAGTTACCAGGTAGCAGAGGTTTTCTTTCCTTTTGGTTACAGTAAGAAGAAGAGCCAAACTGAATTGTAGAAATATTAACCGTGAAAGGTTGAGGCCCCATTTAAAATATTAAATAATGTATAGCATTATCAGTTATGAAACTGATTAAAAGTTAATGATCAATTTCTCAGGCCATAGTTTCACAAGAAGCAGATAGCAGTTAGAAGTTAAAGAAATTAGTCCAAGATTTAGGCATTATAATTAAAAAGGTAAAGCTAAGTTCAGTCAAACAGCAGTTGAAAACAGTTGGTGGTGGTGAAGTAGAGCATACTTCTCTGTTCCTACTTTTTGGTTTTTTAAAGCTTATTCAGTGTTTTTTTCTGTTTTTTCATGTTTATAGAGATTAGTTGTCTAATTCATCTGTTTCAGTAAAGAGACTGTTTTTGTTACAGAGATAAGGCTGAATCCTGTGATTTGATTTATTAGTTATTTTGGGTGTTCGTTTTCTATAGATAGCTGAACTATAAGCCTGTGTTTCATAACTTTTGGAGGCATCATTCACCATATTTTACCTCCCTAAGAGGTAACCTCCCCAAGAGGTAACCTCCCCGGTAAGGCCTGAAGAGTTTTTGTGGGTTGGTGTTCTAAGTGTTGTAATTCAGGATTATAAGAAGTTCCTGCATAAATTTACAGATCTTTGATACACATTCTGAGACCCACAGAGAATCTCCTTTCCCTAATTATCAGATTTACTTTTTAATAAAATGATCTAGAAACTGATCTTAGCTAAAAAGGGGACTATCCTTGTGGGTGATCAAGGCATGTGAAAGGCTCTTTTTGGATGCCTCAAATTTGTCAATCTTTTCTACCTCAGTATTGGACTTTCCTGATAAATTTTTATCCAGACTTGTTAATGTTGCTTAATTGTTAGAGTTTTCAGGATCTATGCTAAGACAGAAATCCAGTTAGCCCAAATCACATGTTTGAGCTGAGTTATAATCACAAGTTATAATTTGCTATGGATTAGCCAAAGGCTACCACTCTTCACCCAGAAAGGGGATGGAGACAGTGTCAGTGTTAACAAAAATGTCCCCTGGCCAGAGGGCTGGGTAGTTTCTCTTAGGGGAAGTTATGAGTGGACAGGCACCTGAAACATGTCCAGCACAATTATGCCTTGTATACTTAGACAGTAAAATGTAATAATATATTTTCAGGCTGCTTTTAATAAGAGAAATTAAAATAGAGAAGTTTTACTTAACTAAATAGACAATTATATTAATAAGCCATACCATATCCTGACTATCCTATTCAATTGAGTTTTTCTAAATGTATGAAATATTTTTATAGAGTGACATGATTCCTTATATAAATATCGCATGAAGATCACAAATTACTTTATAATAGCAGTCATTATGCCTTACCTTTTTGTGCAGTGCTATATATAGTTTATAAAGTCCTACCACATTTATTCATGAAATTCTTAAATTGGTCCTGTGAGTTGGTATATGGTCATTCACATCTATAAAATGGAAATGCAGACATAGGTTGTCACCTGCTAAAATATTGCCATTAATGGAAGAAATTAGACTAGAACTCTCATCTCCCAACTTGTAGTCAGTGCTTTTATTTTTTTCCCCAGAACAGATCTCATAGTTACATCTATAATTTGCAAAGTAGGCAGTTAAATAATGGATCAGAACTGGGTTTGGGGAAGCAGCAAGGCAGGGAAGATTAAGTGACCTCAAGCCAGACAAAAGAAATATTGCCTCTGAAATTTATTAGAATGTTATTCTGTATCTAACACTTATCTTTTGTACAGTGTCTGTTTTGTAAAATAACTATTTGAGGGCTATAATAATAATGGGCCATAATAATCATGAATATTGACTCCAGCATTTTGTGAATAAATGAAGCTCCTTGAATTCGTGTATTATCTACCTGTCAACAGAAAGTATGCAGCTAGGTATTCCTACCTGGGTCAGGAACAAGGTTCTGTTTCTTGGGGTGGGGAGATTGGGAGGATTGATAAAAATCACGGCAAAGGTCACTAGAAGATGAGAGGTTTTAAAGTGCAAAACTTGTAGGTTATTATTTATAGTTCTCTTGCTGCCCAATCAGGAAAAACAGACTAAGAATGGTGGTTACAATTTAGACAATAGTTTGTAACCCAATCAAGTTTTAATAAAAACTGAAATTGAGAGTGGAGGTTGAATGTTCTCTTCAGTTGCTCTCTCAATCTTCAGCAGTTCAGTTTTCCTTACTAAAGGAAGCTCCTCTTCTAGTAAGTCAAGACCAGGACCATGAATCTACTGGTTGATTGTCTACAGAATGATTTGCATTATTATCAGAGTTACCAGTTTTTATTAGTGCATATAATAAAATTGACTTTTTTTATTTCAATTCCTCTTAATACTGCCTTTAAAATTTTTTTCTAATTCTCAAGATAATTTATAAGATTTAAAGGCCTATTATGTTTATCTTTACTGACTTTTTAAAAAATGATTAGGAAAACGAGTGGTACTAATGAAGAAATTTCCTCTGGATGGGGAGAAGATGGGCAGAGAAGCAGCATTATTTATTGTTCCATCAGTTGTCAAAGGTAAAGTCTAAGTTTTATCTTATGAATCTCTATGTACCTTAAATGCTAAGTTAAAGTCTATTGAGGAACTTAGGAATTTGCATTCACAGTTACTACTGTAATACTGTTGTAAAATACATGTTTTTAAATTAATGGAAGATGGAGAAATTTGTTACTTAAAGATGTTTTGATTTCAAAGTATATTCAGGCTTCTGGACTGAACAACAGTGTTTTTGTTTCTGTTTTTAAAAGTAGAATAAAGAAGTGAGGAGGGAAGCCATAATTGAAACTAAAAGTTTTCAAGTTCTAATGAGAGATTTTTCAAAGCATAAGCTATACATAGAATAGAAATAGATATTTAAGTATTTTGGAAAATTGACAGATTATGATGAGTACCTATCTTGTGTTTGAGGCAAGAAAATGTCAATAATAGTTCTAAAATACTCTGCCCAACAGTATTAGTAATATTTAAAGAACTTAGATCTAACATGAAAATTTAATTTGAGCTTTTGACATCCTGGAATAATGGAAAAACTATTGAGTTTCAGTGCAGACCTTGCAGCCCACTAATTTTGTGCTCTTGGGCAAATCACCTCTTTAAGCCTCAGCTCTTTATTTGTAAGACAGGTATTTGCTCCTACTTGGTTCATTGTGCTGGAAGAATTCAATGAGGTATTAGATGTTAAAATCACTTTGGAACCTATAGAGTACTGGCCTCATGTAAGGTAGTAGTAATTGTGATGATATATTAATGACCCACTGTGGACATCCCATCAGCCTGCTTCTACACAGTACTTACGTGTATTACATTAGCCAGCTCTAGCATTCCAGATATATTTTTTTTCCCAGCCACACTTAAGTTAAAAAGTTCAGTATTTTAAATGGTATTGGAAATCTTATTAATCAGAGTTTTGCAACATTGTTGAGGAAGAGAAAGAGGGGACAGTTGCTGCTAATCCTCCAAGATTCTAAATGCTGTGTTCACCCAAGTGGATAAGTTCACGGAGCTGGCTATCACTTGAATCCAGGTCTTCTAATTCCAAATCTAGAACAATTTATGTTAAACTTAACAATTTTTTTTAACGTACTGTAGACTTTTAAATAAAAAACATGCAGTTGTAAACCTTTTATATGATGGCATAATTCTTCATTTTTCTTTTTCAGATAATACTAAATATACATATACTCCAGGATGCCCAATTTTTTACTGCTTACAAGATATTATGCGAGTCTGTAGTGAATCCAGCACTCACTTTGCTACGCTTACAGCAAGGATGTTAATAGCCTTGGATAAGTAAGAATTGCCATTAAAAATATTTTTTAATAAACCAAATACGTGTTCATAGTAGAAATTAGCTCTGATAAAGACACTTTTGGAAGAAAATATATGTATTAAGAAATGGCAAGTTTTTGAAGTATAATATAAAAATGAAAAACCGCAAAGACAAGATTGTCCTGATTTGCTTGCAATACATTCATTTTATTCTTCAAAATTAATGAAGACTGCCCTAGTTAAGAATTAAGATTGCTTTGTTACAAAACTAGATTTAGTATGAGTTACTCTTACCAGTGAACAAGTCGTTTAACCTGTCATGCCTTTGTCTTTCTGTACCAACAGGGCTAATGTCACCTACATCTCAGTGGTTTAAATTTTAAAAGTGCTTCAAGTTTTTTGAAAGAAGTTTTTATTATTACAATGGTATATACATTTTTAAAAATAGTTTGCTGTGTCCATTAACAAAACTTTTATGAATAGTAAATGAAGTACTTAACCAACACTAACTAAAAGCATAAAAATCTGAATTTAATATTAAAAAGTATCACATATCAGAGTTGGATAGTGGTCTGCTTTTTTCCTATTCACTTTTGAACAAATACTTCTTTCTATTTTGCCAGGTGGTTAGATGAACGTCATGCACAATCTCACTTTATTCCAGCTTTATTCCGACCTTCTCCTCTTGAGCGGATAAAAACTAATGTCATAAACCCTGCATATGCTACTGAATCAGGTCAGACAGAAAACTCACTACATATGGGCTATAGTGCACTAGAAATAAAGAGTAAAATGTTAGCCCTAGAGAAAGCAGATACCTGTATTTACAACCCTTTGTTTGGATCAGATCTTCAGTATACAAACCGGGTAAGAGTTGAATGAATTTTGGCTCTGATTTCAAAAGACATTTCATCTCAAATGTAATTTTTTTTCTTGAGATAAATGCCTCTGTTACTAATTGTAAACATTAAGATGACATCTACACTTAGCTCTATTTATATATATTAAAGTCAAGTATCTATAGCTCTTAAGGGTTTTTTGTTTTTGTTTTGTTTTCCCTTTCTAGGTAGATAAAGTGGTAATAAATCCATACTTTGGTCTAGGAGCTCCAGACTATTCAAAAATCCAAATTCCCAAACAGGAAAAATGGCAGAGAAGCATGAGCAGTGTCACAGAAGACAAGTACTATTTTGATTTTACTCCACATTGCTTTTTTAAAACTTACATTGTAATGTTAAAGTATTGTTTAAAATGATATGTGCAGGGGCCGGCCCGGTGGCGCAAGCAGTTAAGTGTGTGTGCTCTGCTTTGGCAGCCCGGGGTTCACAGGTTCGGATCCTGGGCACGCACCAACGCAAGGCTTGGTAAGCCATGCTGTGGCGGCATCCCATATAAAGTAGAGGAAGATGGGCACGGATGTTAGCTCAGGGCCACTCTTCCTCAAGAAAAAAGGGAAGGATTGTCATTGGATGTTAGCTCAGGGCTAGTCCTCCTCACAAAAAATAAATAAATAAATAAATAAAATAAAATGATATGTGCAATTAGTAGACAATGTAGTCATTGCATAAATGATGTAGTTTTCAGCTGCTCAGTGATATATAGTTTTCATAAATATATCATGTTTGTTTTGAAACTATTTGAATTTCAACAGTGCTGTTTTTTGTTTTTTAATTTGTTTTTAATGATTAGGGAACGACAGTGGGTAGATGATTTTCCTCTCCATCGAAGTGCCTGTGAAGGAGATTCAGAATTACTAAGCCGTCTTCTCAATGAAAGATTTTCAGTCAACCAATTAGATAGTGACCACTGGGCACCCATTCATTATGCATGCTGGTAAATAGATTACTTATTCTTTTCTTTTTAGAAAGAATGAATCTTTAGTTATAAATATTACTACTTCTTTTCAAAACTATTCTCATTCCAGCCACTTTTTCTCTACCATGTTTGCTTTATGAGCTTTCTGTTTAGATCTTTGATTACCGTACATGTGCCACTCTTCAGAATTGCAAGATCTGCCCCATGGGAAAAGAATCGTTAGTGATCTCAGGCATAACCAGGTCATACAGTAGGACAGCTAAGGACTAGCAAGTGCTATTGCACAGCACAAAGTCCTTATTCACCCTTGCAGTTTCTATTGTTTTTGTATTGGAGTTATGTTTGTTTATCCTTACTATAAAATTTACATGTGTTAACTACTTATGATTTGACCCTGCATCATGTTAGAAAAGTATCCTTTTAGTTCTTTGGCAAGCTGTGGTATCAGGAAACCTCCAAAAGCCTTTATTAAAATCAAAGCCTTCCTTTTTTTTTTTTTTTTTTAGATGAGTGGGTTTAGCTCACAGGATTGGGGTTAGCTCTTTCCACTAGTTGCCCAGTGTAGTTGTTGCTCTCCTACTCTTCTGATGTAATGATAACTCTTCCCCTTAGCTGGGCTGAGTTCTTCAATTTGTGTTCACAGTGGTAGTTAACTGTTTGCTATAGCCCATCCTCTAGAAAGGACATAATTAAAGTTATTTACCATTATTTCTTATGGGAAATTTGCTTTTGACTTATTATTTAAAATGAAGTTCTTTGGCTACTTGAAGAAGTGCCTACATTCTTTACTGCCTGTTAAATGTCCACAACTTCTTAGCTGCATGATGTTGAGCAAGGTATTCACTTCACCTCTCTGCAGCTCAGTTTTTTAAATCTATATGTAAAATGCATTCATTAGATCATTTCTAGAGTTCTTTCCAGCTCAAATTCTTTTGGTTTCACTGATTCCAAAATTTGTGATCGAGTAGCTAAATATAGTTGCTTTTTAATATACATCTTTTCTCCCTTAAAAATATGCTGTTTCCTTAAAATTATGCTCCTTTATTCAATAAATATGCTCTTATTTCATTTCCTTAAAAATATGCTCCCTTATTCTGTAAATGTGTTCTAATTGTTGTCCCATTACAGGGAATTTTTATATTCAGATTTGGAAAGAGTTAACCTAAATCTTCTTTAACTGCACTTATAGTTGTTTCTTCAGATTACTGGTAAATACTGGTATCAGCAACAGTACTAAAAGAAATCACATGCTTTACCTGGAACTAAACAAAAAGAGGCAGAGAATATAGTTCAAACCCCAAGAAAGTATACTGTGCAATTGGGAAAGAGAGAGGCAGTGAATTTTAGTTTAGTAATCCCAAATTAACATTTGGCTATATCGATGCCCTTTTTAGTGGTAGGGGGTTGTATTCTTCTGTAATAAAAGAATGCTAATATTTTTAATTACCTGTTACATAAAAACAGAAGTATGGTATAGTATTTAAAGTGCTTTGGAATGTACCTAGGTTTAAGTCCCAACTGTTAGTTCCTAAAAGTATGACCTTTGGCAAGTTACCTAATGTCTCTAAGGATCTGTTTCTTTATCTACAAGATGGGCTTAATAATAGTACCTTTCTTAAGATTAAAGGAGAAAATGCTTTGAGAGTACCTCACACATAATAAGCACTCAATAAATGTTGGCTGTTATTATTAAAATATTATAAAAATTTAAAGGTTTTGATGTCTGAATCTAAAATTCATTAATCTGTAGTATTTTTATTTGGAAAGTCTTATTACTACAATACAGCAAGGAAAAGAGTTGTATTCTTTGATAAAATTAATTTTCTGTCAGCTGGAAATAACGACCAAGTTTAGTACACCAGGAGTAGTATGGGTCACCTTGCGATACTTTTAATCAGATGGATCATTTGATTGATGTGAATGTGAATGAAGACTGATTTAACTATTTAGTAAGAACTTAAATTACCTTATCTTGGAAATATACTCTTATTTACTAGTTGGTTCAAAGATTGAGGAGGTGAATACTGGGCTGTCTCATCAAGAGACTGAGATTTGGAGCCTATCTTTATAAACTTAGATGTTTACCCCTTTTGGTCTGTTTTCTCATTTTTAAAATGAGAGTTTTATTAGATCAGTGGTGCTCAAACTTTGATGTCAGGACCCCTTTCACTCTTAGAAATCCCTAAGAGCTTTTGTTTATGTGAATTATATCTAATGTTATTTACCAGATTAGAAGTTAAAACTGAAAAATATTTTAAGTATTTACTAATTCATTTAAAAATAACAATAATAACATAAATAACACAATCTTATGGAATATACCATACTTTGCAAAATAAAAAATGAGAAGAGGGGGCTGGCCCGGTGGCATGGTGGTTCAGTTCATGTGCTCAGCTTTAGCGGCCCAGGGTTCACAGGTTCGGATCCCGGGAGTGGACCTATGCACCCGCTTGTCAGGCCATGCTGTGGCAGGCGTCCCACATATAGAGTAGAGGAAGGTGGGCACGGGTGTTAGCCCAGGGCCCATCGTCCTCAACAAAAAGAGGAGGATTGGCAACGGATATTAGCTCAGGGCTAATCTTCCTCACCAAAAAAAAAAAAAAAAAAGAGAGAGAGAGAAGAGTAGCATTGTTTTACATTCTTGCAAATCTCTTTACTCTCTAGCTAAATAGAAGATAGTTGGATTCTTACATCTGCTTCTGCCTTTAATTCGTTGCAATATTACATGTCACGTAACTTCTAAAAAACTCTACTGTACACTTATAAGAAAATGAGAATGAAAAGGGCAAATAACTTCTTAGTATTATTATGAAGATATGTTTTACCTAGAGGACACCTGGAAGAGATTTCAGGGATCCTCATGGGTTCCCAGACCACTCTTTGAGAACCACTTAATTAAAGCACCCCTAGGATTGCTCCAAGCTTTTAAAATTCTCATATTGGTGATCAGGTACCTAGACGCTATTCTTTACTAGAATCACCATTTTCCAAAACTATTTAAGTTGGCTTTCTCCCCATATGGGTAACTTGTCAGCCACTCAAGTAAATGTCTCACTGACATCCCATACTCTCTCCCTCTCTCAAGTTGCTGTCTTTTGTCTCTGATAGTACTTCTAGGCTTCACATCATTGTTAGAGGGTGTTTTAGAACTACGATGATTTGGCTCCCTACAAATTATTCCATCTGATTTCATTTGGGCCTTCACTGTAGCTTAGCTCTGTGTCCTCTTTGTCTCCTTCATCCCATGAGCCATTTAGTCCTCCCCTATAAGCTATTCTACACCTTTCTACTCTTAAGCATTTAAACTCCCACTACTTCTTTCTCTACTCACATCAGATAGTTTTATCCCTTAGTTTCAAAGAACATTGAAGCCATGAGAAATGTCCTTCTTCTCTACCCTTAGTGATCAGTTTTTGTTCCCATCTCTCTCTTGTACCATAGGGTATGCAAGTAAAAATCCTTGTTCCCCATTAAATTTACTTTCTCCTTTTCTGCACTTTCTTTCCTCTTGCCTTCAAGCATACGTGGTTCTCTCCCTCCTTGAAAAGAACCTTTATTTGAACCTGCTGCCTCTTCTGGCCACTATCCTGTTTCTTTCCTTTCTTTCGTAGCCAGACTTCAAAGGTGAGTGGGCCACACTCACTGTTTTCTCTTTTTCACTCTTCATAAACCTTCTTAACCTTTTCTGAGTTTTAATCTCTTTCCCTGCTCTGCAGCATTTATTACTGTTGATCACCCCTTCGTTCTAAGAACAAAGTGGAGTTGAAAGGGCGTAATGGAGCTATAATGAAGGTCAGTACAAATGCAGGATATTATTGTTACTTTATCATTATTATTGAAATACTGGCCTCCATTCTGTCACCCAAGCATCTGTTATAGTATGGAAACTGCTATCCTAAGATTCAGAAAACTGGATTCTAATTCTGGCTAGTAACCATGAGAACTGGTTCAAGCTTCGTTTTTCTCATCTGTGCAATAAAAATCCTTCTGCCTGCCTCATAAGTTGTGAAGCTTATAATCTGTGAAGATTATATTAGTTATTTAAGAAAGTACCTTGAAAACTTTAAAACATCACACAAAATGTATGTTTGTATTAATTATTTTTATTATTACTTGAATTGCTCCATTAGTATCTTTTCCTGTCCTGAAAGAGTGTTTTTCAAGATGCATTTCATTGTTCTAAGATGATCATCTTTCTCTAAATTTTCTCCTAGAAAAATTTCATCCATTCTCCCAGCCTTAACGATATTCTTTTAAGTTAGATGAATTTGCATATTCTCAGATAGATATCCCAAGCCTTTGCCTTCCTTCTCAGTACCAAGCCTGCATTTTCAACTGCCTACTAAACAGTTTAGTTACTCATTTTTGGTGCTGAAGGCAGTTTGAAGAATGCAAATACACTCTCCCTACCCTCAAGGAATTTCCAGGCTAATAGAGATGTATATAAACAAGGATGAAAATAGGTAAAATGAGATAAATCCCATAAAAGAAGCTAAAATGTAGTGGGAATATAGAGGAGGTAGATTTTAAACTTCAAAGAAAATTTTAAATTTCAAAGAAATAATAGAGCTTAACCTGAACAAAATGAGGAGGAGGAAAAGGACGTCTCAAGAATAGCAAAGAATGTGAACAAAATGTCACATGAATAAGAATGGGTAGGATACAAGTGGCAGGTTCAGGGCATAAAACCACAAGGTACGTGAAGGGGAAGGAGGGAAAGTTGAAGCCAAATCGGATCAGTTCTAAAGATGCGCTGTTTTCCCCTCAAATGCACCACATCTAAAAGCAAATTTCCTTTCACCTTCTTCCTTCCCGCCCATTTATTTCCAAACAATGAATTACTTTTCCACCTTGCTTCAGATTGCAGCCTTACATAAGGTTTTCACTGTAACCGTATGGTGGACTCACTTTGTCTGGCACATGCTTTGTACTCTTCTCGTCCTTGCTTTGCATACTCCTTTTCCTACTACCTAAAATATTTTACCTCCCTTCGACATCTCTTCAGTTTCTTCCCATTTAAAATCCAGTTCAAATTGTTCTTCTATCAAAACACTTTTCAGGACCATCTTAGACTGAAATCATATCTTCCTTTACTGACTTTTTTTTAAAGCATTAATATATACTATTTTGATTTGACAAATATATAGTGCCTTATTTTGTTGATTGTTATCCTAAACTGTTCCTTAAGTTTTACAACACTATGTAATTTATCCCATGTTTTCGTTTTACTCTCTGATTACATTGTACACCTGTATCAGAGCAGAGACTATGTATCTTACATATTTTTGTGTCTCCAACGTTGCCTGATACAGCAGCTATGTATAGAATTACATCTTTAGGCCTATTTTGTAAATCGTAGGCCCAAGTGAAAAGCATTATTAAATTTATGAGTTACTTTCTGATTCCAAACCTATTTTTGACTAAAAATTTTCACTCTGTAATTTATAATTTTTCTACTTTACTTTGTGTTCAGTGGTTCTCTATCATCTGCTCTATCTTGTATTTGAAGTTGTATTTTCTCCCAGTTGATCAGAAATAGGAACAGCTGAATTGAACCAGAATAATTCATAAGAAATCCTTAGGCACTGAAAACATTTACATTAGTGTCTTAATTCCTTGCCCTCTGCCCTAGAAAAATCTTAGATTTCTTTGAGATGTTGCCTAAAATTTGGATTTTAAAAAACATTTCAGATGACTTTTTTAGGTGTTTTACTTTTTTATAGGTATGGAAAAGTTGAGGCCACTCGCATATTGTTAGAGAAAGGGAAGTGCAATCCAAACCTTTTAAATGGGCAGCTTAGTTCTCCTCTTCATTTTGCTGCTGGAGGAGGACATGCTGAAATAGTACAGATTCTCCTAAACCATCCAGAAGTTGACAGAGTAAGTTATTTTCCAGGTTTTCTTTTTTTTTTTAATGTTCAAGCAGTGAATAACAAGTAATGACAGTAAAATGTTAAATTGCGTATTGAGAGAGCAGCTGAAAAAACAAATTTCACTTACTATATAGAATAAGTAATATTTGTGTATAAACTTTGCTTTTGTACATAATTTTTTTTATTGTGGTAAAATATACCTTACATAAAATTTACCATTTTAATCATTTTTAGGTATACAGTTCAGTGACATTAAGTACGTTCACATTGTTGTGCAGCCATCACCACCATCCATCCCAGAATGTACATAAAATTTAACCTCTTTTCATTTTATATTGTACTTGCTCAAAAATATCTTTAAAGAATGAAAAAGATTTTCTACCCATTTTCTAGAATTCGTATTAACAAGTATTTTGTAAAAGGAAAAATAATAGCTTTAACAAAATCTTTGTTGTATCTATGATCAGAACTTTAAAAAAAAACACATTGAATAGGCTTTGTGTCTTTCATCTTTGGCAGTTCATGTTTATTTTAAGCATAGCATGTACTAAGTATGATTAATGTTTACTTAATACTAGACAAGAGTCTGTTTTTTATGAGACTTTGACTGATTGAATATTTTCCCTTAGAATACCATATATTTGTAATGTCTATTTTTCTTTATCCTTTATTCCCCCGACATTTCTAGCACATAACAGACCAACAAGGAAGATCCCCTTTAAATATTTGTGAAGAAAACAAACAAAATAATTGGGAAGAAGCTGCAAAATTGTTGAAGGAAGCCATTAACAAACCAGTAAGAATTATCTTCATAAATAGTTAAAGCAAAGCATCGCATTTAAATTGATAAGTAATTTGAAGCTCTGTGGCAGGAATGGAAGGATGAATGGATGGATAGCTTCTTTACTGCTTTTATAAAACCTCATGTTTAGACTGTATAGGTATTAATTTGTTTTCATTCCTAACATTTGGACATTTATTTTTGTATGACAAAACTTGCATAAATAAATAAATCTTTCAATCACTTAAAATTTATCTAATTTCCAGTATAATCTCTATACTTGAAGTGCTAATTACAAATTATGATCTAGTCATTGAAGCATATCTTTCTACTTAGGCCTTCTAAGCAATATTTCATATTTGTAAATAATAACATTACACATCATTCATTAATTTAGTTTCAGCAAGTTACTTATCTGTTACACATTCATTTTCCTCAAGAAAGTGAATGGGTTAAAATAGGAGATTTCCTAGCTCTTTTATTCTTCCACTTCAGCCTGGCCTTTCCATCTAATTATGTCTGAAATAATTAGCAGTGACACTAAGACCGAGAAGAATTAATAATTGGAAAAAACTCACTTATGCCTAAAAGTTATAGGGATGACAACAAAACTATCATCAATTTAAAAACTGTTTGAAAACTTGCAAACCAGATAAAAGGATTTATACCAACAGATAAAGGATAAAGTTTGATACCAACAGATACAACCCATATGTCTGAGCCTTTGCAGACATTCCCATCAATTAGACAATAAGTATTTGTGGATTATTTCTGTGAATTGAACACAATAAAATGCTGAAAGTGATAAAGAATAAATATATGATCTCTGCCTGTAAGGAAAATTACACACACACTCATACACATTTTGTCAAAACACTCTTCCATGAGCACAAGACAAACACAAGGAAATAGATAAGCGGTACAGGCACCTTTATGTTATACTTCATTGCAGTTTATTTTCTAACTGTATAGTTAAAACACATGTTTATTCCTGGCAAACTTTTTATATCAGAATGTATGAGATAAGAGGAATTAGGTATTTTTATCCAAAATGAACTGTCCTGAAAGTTGTTTGGAGGCATCAGTTACTTCTATAATAATACAAATGTATTGAGAATGTCATTTTTCTCTGGGATTTTCCGACCTGGAGAAAAGAAACATTGTATAACTTTTACCTGCAGAGTCTTCTATCACAGACTCCTCTTAGGACAAATTATTGCTGGTGCACATTTCTGCAGTATAATTTGTGGTCCACTAAACTCATGAGGTACTTGACAACCAGATTTAAATTTACCAGATTTTCTAAATCTGGTACCTAACACCAGATTTAGTTAACCAAGTCTGTATCCCCCATATGATATTTACATTGTACATTAATGGCTTTAAAATTTCCTCTTAGAAGATTTTGAAGTTGAATATTTTTTTAAAGCCATTTGCCTTAGTTTCTCAAACTTATTTGACCATGGAATATCCAGAGGAAACTGGAAAATATAAATAATAGAAGTAAAATTTTTAAAAATATTGCCAACAGATTCTCACTTGAAACAGTTTTTCTGATATTTCTCATGTTAGAAATCTATAATAAAGCAGATGAAGTTGAAATTAAAGCATTTTGTTGGTTTGGGATGTATAATTTCTAACCAGGTTTCATAATTTATTATCATTCTTTGTCCTAGTATGAAAAAGTTCGAATATACAGAATGGATGGATCATACCGTTCTGTTGAACTGAAACATGGAAATAATACAACAGTGCAGCAGATAATGGAAGGAATGCGTCTCTCTCAAGAAACACAGCAATATTTCACTATTTGGATCTGTTCAGAAAACCTCAGTAAGAAAGTTCTTATTCTGTTGTGTAAACTTCATTATTTCTTTTTGAGAGTGGGTTGGTAAACTTAAGTGTAGCATCAGTTTATTATTGATTTTTAAATTTTGAAATGATACAATGTTCTATGTTATATAAATTATTAGTGTTCAAACTGCTGAAATAGATAAGCCTCTGGGCCTACCCCACCACCTGTCCCAATTCATTCAATGTTTTAAGTGGTAAAAAACAAAACATTCCTTCTCTAGCAATGGAATTTGATTGGAATGCTATTAAATGCAGTACTCATCCAACTTGCCTTTATTTTCAGTGCTCACCTCACCTCAAAGTAATACAAATGTTGTTTTTCTTTATATTAGTTTTCTATCAGATCTTTTTATTTAAAATCAACCTAATGTCACTATAGATTTGTCTCTCAGACAAAGAATTGCAAATACATAAGGGATTTAATTGAGGTTGTTGTGATTGGTTATCTAATGGTTTAGTTGTATTTTTTTAAACACCAAATTCTACTAATTGTATCATAGTTAAATAGGCTATCATAGAATTAAGGATCTTAAGTATATTTGATAAATTTTATTTATTTTAAGAATTATTTTCATAATTCTTATACTCTTAAAAACAAAAGCAATTAACCTGAAATTGGGCAGTAATATTAATTAAAGTCAATGTTGTTTTAAATTTAGACCTTCAATTTGTGTATACTCAGTACTTAAGTGCAGAGAGTTTAATACAGTGTTTCTATGTGTTGATATAATTGATTTATTTTTACTTTATCATTAATAAAAGGAAAGATGTTTTTCAGGCCTCCAACTCAAGCCTTATCATAAACCCTTGCAACATGTTCGTGACTGGCCAGAAATACTTGCTGAATTGACTAATTTGGATCCCCAAAGGGAAACACCACAGCTTTTCCTAAGAAGAGATGTGAGACTTCCTTTGGAAGTTGAAAAAAAGGTTTGCTTGGAAATCTTATTTATAGTCATCTAAATGTAAAGAATCTATTGAGTTCCTATTGTAGGCACTAGAGGCAGAAATTGTGCTCTTCCTTTCAGGGGCGTTTTACTTCTGTTTTTCTGTTGAATCCTCACAACCCTGTGGTGTATGTAAGTGGTAGAGTTTGAGTCAGTGTACTTACAGAGTCCCTAGTTGGTTTTTCCATTTCCACCTCCATTGTCTTAGAATACAAAAGAAATAGAGAATCTATCCTGAAGAGAATTAGCAACCAGATAAGAGATTATACAGAAAAAAAATTTTAGAATAGTTATAAAGGAAGTACAGTGTCAAAGATAAACTAAGGGCTAATCAGTTGTGTAAATTTCAAAGGAGCAAAGAGATACATTGGTGTGGGGGGAGAACAGAAAAAACATTCTGGGTAGAGAAGATTATATTTGTAAATGGACATAAAAAGTTATTCTCAGCTGTCAGTAAGTAGTTGTTCTCAACTCAAGCAGAGAACCATATAGATAGTAAAAAATGAGAATAGAATTTATGTTTGATAAAAAGATCTGTTCCAAACAAGTATGTTTGGATTTTAATTACTGTAAATGTTAGAGGAGAGGTGAGATAATGCCATCTGAAGGCTGAGTGGACAAAGAAGAAACCTAAGGGAGATATTACAAATAAAAGTAGGTATGATAGTCTAAACACAGTGGTCGCTGTGAAAATTAGGGGAAAAAAGTTCCAAAGTCTCATAACTTGGGTGAAGGAAAAATACATAATGCATTTCCTGATTCTTCAAGGAAATATTAAACAGACAAAGTTAAGCAAATTTCAGCACATGAAGATTTCAGTGACCATGTCCAAACTTGGTAAATGTTTTGTGTCTGACTATTCATATTGTCCCTCTAATATTATCAAACCAAAGATAGATTTGATCCTCTCAGTGAATTATGCTGGGACTTATATAAAATTTGCCAAAAACTAAGATCTTGGTTATTCATAAAAAAATCTATTAGAATCACATAAATAGAATGAAGGAAAAAAACCTCATGATAATCTCAATTGACACAGAAAAGGCATTTGGGAAAATCCAATACCCTTCCATGATAAAACTCTCAGAAAAATAGGAATAGATGGGAACTTCCTCAATATGATAAATGGCATTTATGAAAAACCCACAGCTAACAACATACCCGATGGTGAAAGACTGAGAGCTTTCATCCTAAGATCAAGAACAAGACAAGGATGCCTGCTTTCACCACTGCTATTTAATATAGTACTAAGTTCTAGCCAGAGCAATTAGATCAAAAAAAAAGAAAGAAAGAAAGAAAAGAAATAAAAGTCATCCAAATTGGAAAGGGAAAAGTAAAACTATCTCTAGTCACAAATGACATAATCCTATATATATAGGAAATCCCAGAGAATCCACAAGAAACCTGCTAGAGGTAATAAATGGATTTAGTAAAGTTGCAGGGTACAAGCTTAACATACAAAAATCAGTTGTTTCTATACACCAGCAACAAACAATCCCCAAAAGGAAATTAAGAAATACATTAAAATAGTATCTAAATGAATAAAATACCTAGGAATAAATTTAACAAAAGAGGTGCAAGACTTGTACATTGAAAACTGCAAAAACATTACTGAAAGAAAGTAAAGACTTAAGTAACTGGAAAGACATCCCATGTTCAAGGATAAGATTTAATATTGTTAAGATGTCAATACTAACAAAGTGATCTGCTAATTCAATGCAATTCCTGACAAAATTCCAGCAGCCTTTTTTGCAGAAATGGAAAAGGCAATCCTCAAATTCATATGGAATTGCAAAGGGCCTTGAATAGCCAAAACAATTTTGAAAAAGAAGAATAAAGTTGTGGGATTCACATTTCAAACTTACTACAATTTCAAAACTTACTACAAAGCTGCAGTAATCAAAACAATGTGGTACTGGCCTAAGGATAGACATATAGACCAATGGAATAGAATTGAGATTCCTGAAATAAACTCATATATCTATGGCCAACTGCTTTTTGACAAGGGTGCCAAGTCCATCCAGTGAAGAAAGAATACAATCATCCCTCAGTATCCATGGGGGATTTGTTCCAGGACACCCCATAGGTACCAAAATCTGAGGACGCTCAAGTCCGTATGTAGTCTCTTCAACAGATGGTGCTGGGATGACTGGAAATTCACATGCAAAAGTATGAAATTGGACACTGATCTCACACCATATACAAAAATTAACTCGGTGTATCAACGACCTAAATATAAGAGCTAAAACTGTAAAACTCTTAGAGGAAGACATGGGTAAATCTTCATGACTTTAGATTTGGCATGGATTTTTAGATATGACACCAAAAGCATGAGTAACAACAAAAAATAGATAAATTAAACATCAAAATTAAAAACATTTGTAAATCAAAGGACATTATCAAGAAAGTGAAAAGACAACCTATAGAATGGGAGAAAATATTTGCAAATCATATATCTGATAAGAGTTTACTACCCAAAATATATAAAGAACTCCTACAACTCAACAACAAAAAGACAACCCAGTTAAATTGGGCAAAGAACTTGAATAGCATTTCTCCAGTGAAGATATACAAATGGCCAGCAAGCACATAAAAAGATGCTCAACATCAGTAGTCATTAAGGAAATGCAAATCAAAACTCAATGAGAAACTACTTCACACCTACTAGGATGGCTATAATAATAAAAATTTATAAAGGAAAATGATGAGTTTGGTGAGGATGTAGAGAAATAGGAACCATTGTACGTTGACAGGTAGGAACGTAAAGTGGTGCAACCACTGTGGAAAACAGTTTAGTGGTTCTTCAAAAAACTAAACATAAAATGAGCATATGATGTAGCAGTTCCACTCCTTGGTATATACCTGAAGAATTGAAAACAACAACTCAAACAGATGCTTGTACACCAATGTTCATAGCAGCATTATTCATAATAGCCAAAAAGGTGGAAACAAAGTGTCTATCAGCAGACAAATGGATAAACAAAATGTAGTATATATGTACAATGGAATATTATTCAGCCATAAAAAGGAGTTAAGTTCTGATACATGCCATAACATGGATGAACCTTGAAAACATACTAAATGAAATAAGCCAGACACAAAAAGACAGATATTGTATGATTCTACTTATATTAAATATCTAGAACAGGCAAGTTCATCAAGACAGAAAGTAGATTAGTGGTTACCACAGGTGTGGGGGTTAGAGAATGAGGAGTTAACTGATTAATGGTTATAGAATTTCTGTTTGGGTGATGAAAAAGTTGTGGAAATAGTGGTGATGGTTGCACAACATTGTGAATGTAATTAATGCCACTGAATTGTACACTTAAAAATGGTTAAAATGGCAAGTTTTTTGTTAAACATATTTTATCACAGTTTTTGTGTGTGTGTGTGTGTGTGTGTGAGGAAGATTAGCCCTGAGCTAACATCCGTTGCCAATCCTTCTCTTTTTGCTAAGGAAGATGGGTCCTGGGCTAACATCCGTGCCCATCTTCCTCTACTTTCTATGGGACGCTGCCACAGCATGGCTTGACAAGCTGTGTGTCGGTCCGCCCCCGGGACCCGAAACTGCGAACCCCAGGCTGCCAAAGCCGAGGGTGCACTTAACTGCTATGCCACCAGGCCAACCCCTTTTATCACAGTTTTTAAAAATATATTAGATCTGTGAAATCTGCAGATAATCTAAGTATACTCAGTCTGTCTTGCTTCTCTACCTAAGTAATATTTTAAAAATTGGCTGGTAGAGAATAAGAGCAGTAATGATAATACTTGGATGAGAAATTGCATAATTATAAGTATTACAAAGTGGGCTTTAGTGAAAAAGAAGCAAGGCTTAGTAAATACTTATGGTAAATCAGAATATCATGATCATCTGATAAAGTAGTTGTGTTCTTTCACTCGTTATGTGATTAGGAAATTCCTATTTGTACCATCTGAAAAATAGAAAAATTGCATTTATTGATTAGCATCATTCTTTTAGGATAAAAATAGCCTGATTTCATTAAAAAAGAACAATTGTTAACTAATACTCACTGAACATACTATTAGAAATTATAACTATTCTCTACTCAAATTCTTCAAATTCACTGTCAGTTTTTTTAGAAAAATATGTGTTCTTTCATTCTTTTTCCCAACATTTTATTTTGAAAAATTAAAAACCCATAGGAAATTTGAAAAAGTAATAAAATTCACACCATACACCATTCATTAAATTCACTAATTATTAACATTTTGCTACATTTGTTTCATCTTCTCTCTCTTTTCTTTGTGAACCATTTAAAAGTGAGTTGCAGGCATCATGGCACTTCATCCCTATGTATTCGACACGCATCGCCTGTGAACAAGGACATACCTACATACTACAATACCATTTCCAATCTAATAAAGTTGATATTTCCGTAATAACATCAAATATCAGATCTATATTCAGATTTTCCTCAATTGTTGCAAAGTCTTTTATAGCTCCCATCTGTAGGATGCTTTGCCTTTGACTATTTCTTTAGTCTCTTTTAATCTAGAACAATCCCCTCATCTTTTTCTCCCCCATGAAATTCTGTTTCAGTTTTTTAGATCATATGGAGTATTATCAGATTATTTTAGTTAGTATGACAAAAACAATTTTTACCACAATTTGGATCATTGTGAATTATATTTGAAATATTTTAAGTATTCATTCAGAAACTTGATAATTGGGATTATTTCCAAATAGAATATATTCTTTAGGTTAGCATTTTTCAATCTTTGTTAATCTTATCGGATAAAGTGAAACTTGAAAGTTTTTAAAACTTAAAAAAACTTAAAAAAAACCTTATGCTCTCCTTTAATGTTATTTGGAAGTCAAAGTATTTTTAGTCAAATAAAAAATGTTTGTTTTAAAGTAAGCTTTTTTAAAACTACATGTACCCCTCTGGGAATTGACATACTTCCTTTTATCTTCTTTGAGGTTCACTACTATATTGCATGAAGCATAGATAATAGAAAAATGTTTGAGGAATATAAAGAATTTAGGTAAAATTGCCCTAGAAATTATCCATATCCATAAACTGATGATAATTTTATTAGAACTGTAAATCAGAGGTTAGCAAACCATGGCCTATTGCCATATCTGACCTGCTGCCTATTTTTGTATATCTTGCAAGCTATTAATAGTTGAAAAAATTCAAAAGAACAATATTTCATGTCACTAAAATTTTATGAAATTCAAGTTTCAGTGTCCGTATATAAAGTTTTAGTGGAACACCGTCACACCCATTTGTGGATGTGTTGTCTGTGGCTGCTTTTGTGCTACAATACCAGAGTAGAGTAGTTGTAACAGAGACTATATGGCTCATAGAGCTTAAAATATTACTCTCTGACCCGCTTAATAGAAAAATTTGTCAATCCCTGCTCTAAAACAATGATAGCTCATTTATATATAAATATGTACCTTTTGCTTTTCCGTGTTAGTGACAAGTTGTACATTTGTAACAGAAATTGTAGCCGAATAACCAAATTGTACTTTTTCTTTTAAGATCGAAGACCCACTAGCTATTCTTATTCTCTTTGATGAAGCCAGATATAATTTATTGAAGGGCTTTTATACAGCTCCTGATGCCAAACTAATAACATTGGCAAGTCTACTGTTGCAAATAGTTTATGGAAATTATGAGAGTAAGAAACACAAGCAAGGTTTCCTAAAGTAAGTATTTAATACAATGTGTGGTCTTGTTCTATGCTCAAGATTTCGTTTAACCAAGAAAGTTTAGAAATATTATGTTAAGAAATATTTATACATTGGTTTGGAATTAAATAATACAAGGCATGGAATGAGGAAAAAAAACAACTATGGTAAAGCGTTCTTTATGTTATACTCTCTCCAAAGTTATTTTTCTTATATTTTGACTCTAGTTTGACATACCTTATACTTTTAAAATTTATCTTTCTTAAACTATTTGTTTAAATAAGTTCACTAAAACCTGACTTGAATTAGTAGAAAAATGTTATTTGTAAGTCAGATGCATTTAAGAATCCCACCACAAAAACTAGTTTCATGTTTTAATTTGAAAGAAAACACTGTTTTAGCACATCTAAAGTTTGTTTATTGTGGTTTTCAATTTTCAAAAATATTTTGTGATTATTGAAAGAAGAAACATTTCTCTAAATTAAGCAATGTTAGCATTGTGGCTTTTTGCTTTAAATTTTTAGAGTCTTCTGATATTTTACAACAGTATTTTTCAGCTCAAAAATCATGTTACCTTAAAGTCATTTGTGTCTAAATGATATATTACTTTAGCTACTAAAGATGATTTATTTAAAAAATGTTGGCATATTTTCTTACAGTGAAGAAAATCTAAAATCTATTGTACCTATTACCAAATTGAAAAGTAAGGCACCTCACTGGACAAACCGAATACTTCATGAATACAAGGTAAGCTGTTCGATAGAAATAAAAAGACATCTTATAGCCTAGTTGAAATTTTGTTAGTATTATTAATATTTTAAACATAGGTACATTAAATATATAGTCTTGAAATTAAAAATAGATATTCTAGTTCACATGCCTGAAAGTAGCAAGATATTTTTATTTTTAATAATGTAGAATCTTTTGCCGAATACCTTCTATGTGCTGGATACTGTGGTAAGGGCTAGAGATTAAAAAAACATGAAATAATACACTATCTTTGTCCAAGAGGCACTTAATATAAGATCTCAAAAATCGCTCTTGGGATAATGTCACACAATTTTATTCTTCTTTGGGGGCAGCCTTGATATTAGAAACTGCTTAATTGACCTCTTTGGATTGTCAAAGGTATGTTCTTCTTTCACGTCTCTATTTTACTTTGTTTTTAGAATCTTAGTACAAGTGAAGGTGTCAGTAAAGAAATGCATCACCTTCAGCGCATGTTCTTACAGAATTGTTGGGAAATTCCTACATATGGAGCAGCTTTTTTCACAGGACAGATATTTACAAAGGCAAGCCCCAGCAATCATAAAGTCATCCCTGTGTACGTAGGAGTGAATATAAAAGGACTTCATCTCCTCAACATGGAAACTAAGGTAGATTTTCAGCTTTTCAGCTGTTTTTGACCAGTCATATTATATAATATCTAAAATAATAGTACCAGCCTACATGAAAAATCTAGAAATGTCATATATACAAAGTATTCATTGTAATTTCATTTATAATAGCAAAGGATAGAGGGCAAAAAATAAGTAATTATCAGTAGGGGGTTAACATATTAATTATAGTACATTTCCACATTGAAATACCTTGCAGCCATACAAAAGAATAAAGAATATTTTTGTGTAGAATGATCTCCAAGATACATGTAGTGAAAAAGCAAGGTGCTGAACCATATGTAACATGTTACTATTTATGTAAAAATGGAGGGAAGTTATCCAAAGAAAACAAAAACACTAACTCAAAAAGATATATGCACCACTATGATCATTGCAGTATTTACAATAGCCAAGATATGGAAACAATGTAAGTGTCCATCAAAGGATGAACAGATAAAGAAAACTGGTATATATATGCAATGGAATATTATTCAGCCACAAAAAAAGAAGGAAGTTTTGCTGTTTGCGACAAGAATAGACCTTGAGCACATTATGCTAAGTAACATAAGTCAGACTGAGAAAGACAAATATCACATGATCTCACATATATGTGGAATCTTAAAAAAAAAAAGAAAAAGAAAGGGGCTGGCCTGGTGGCATAGCAGTTAAGTGCGCGTGCTCCACTTCAGCAGCCTGGGGTTTGCGGGTTCGGATCCCGGGCATGCGCCGATGCACTGCTTGTCAAGCCATGCTGTGGCGGCATCCCATATAAAGTAGAGGAAGATGAGCACGGTTGTTAGCCCGGGGCCAATCTTCCTCAGAAAAAAAAAGAGGAGGATTGGCATCGGATGTTAGCTCAGGGGTAATCTTCCTCACAAAAAATAAATTAATTAATTAAATAAGATTAAAAAAAAAAAAAAGAAAGAAAAAAGCTAAGCTCATAGATACTGAGAACAGATTGGTGGCTGCCAGAGGCAGGGGGTAGAGGGTGGGCAAAATGGGTGAAAGGAGTCAAAAGGTACAAACTTCAGTTGTAAAATAAATAAGTCATGGGGATGTAATATACAGTGTCATGACTTTAGTTAATAATACTGTATTGCATATTTGAAGGTTGCTAAGAGAGTAGATCTTACAACTCTTCATCACACAAAAAAATTTCTTAATTATGTATGGTGACGGATGTTAACTAGACTTATTGTGGTGATCATTTTGCAGTATATACAAATATTGAATCCTTATGTTGTACACCTGAAACTAATGTAATGTTACGTGTTAATTATACCTCAATTAAAAAAATAGGGGGAGGGCCGGCCCTGTGGCTTGGTGGTTAAGTGCGCGCACTGCAATGCTGGTGGCCCGGGTTCGGATCCCGGGTGCGCATAGAGGCACCACTTCTCCGTCCATCCTGAGGCCGAGTCCCACATACAGCAACTAGAAGGATGTGCAGCTATGACATACAACTATCTACTGGGGCTTTGGGGGGAAAAAATTAAATAAATAAAATCTTTAAAAAAAAAAAAAAAATAGGGGGAAGTGAAGACTATGTTTACATAAATGGCTATCGCTTGTGTATGCATAAAAAGTATCTTGAAGCCTTTAGAGAAGGGAACTAGGTAACTGGGAATAAGAGTAGGAAGGAGACTTTTCATATATACCATTTTGCAACTTAAAAAAATTTTTAACTGTGATTATATTACCTATTTTAAAACTCCATTAGATTTAAATGAAAAAATACAAATTAATAAAAGGAAAGTCTAATAGCTGACACAAAAGCTTCATTTTGAAAATTAGAATTAGTTGTAAGAACTAATTTTTTTGTAAGAACTAATTTTTGTGGGGCAGGATGAAGTGTGGAAGGGATTGTGACTACCCATTAGAACACTTCAGAGCTTTTGAATCAGAGGCTTGTTACTGTATTGTGCTCCTTTTTCTAATCAAAGTTGCTATAATATAAAATATGGGGTTATCAATTATTTTTAGCATATTTAACACATTTCACAGGATGAACAACTTTCTAGTTAGTAATAGGAAGCTAATAAAAATCAAATCTTTTTTGTTTATTCAGATTTGTCAAGAATAGACCATTTCCCAAATCAGTTAAAGTACTAACTAAGCTTATGCATTTTAAAAAGGCATTTTAGATTAGGAAATTTCATCATAAGCCTAATTTTTATTTTCATCATTTTTAGAGGTCTTTGTGAAAGTATCCCAATTGTAGGTTAGTCCTTTCATGATAATTCAGGATCATCCTTATGGGCAACAGTTATTTTACCATGCTGTTAGATAGGCCTGTGAATGGAGATAGAGAATATATAGGGACATAGGGCTGAATAGGGACTGACTTAAGTAATTGCCTTGGAACTTGGTTTTGTTTTATTTTGTTTTTGTTTTTTTTGGGGTTTTTTTGCTCAGGAAGATTGGCCCTGAGCTAAAATCTGTTGCCAATCTTCCTTTTTTTGCTTGAGGAAGATTCACCCTGAGCTAACATCTGTGCCAGTCTTCCTGTATTTTATTTGTGGGTCACCACCACAGCATGGCCACCGACGAGTAGTGTAGGTCTGCACCCAGAAACTGACCCCAGGCCACCGAAGCGGAGTGCGCTGAATTAACCACTAGGCCACAGGGCTCGCCCTGAGGAACTTGATTTTTTGAACTTTCTGATGTCAGCTTGCTTTGGGTCATTTTCTTATTGCTTTCTATTTAAACTATTTTACTCACACAAGATAGGCTGCTTCTTATTAGCTTATAAACACTTTAATATTTCTATTGTACTAAGTTTGTTAAAGGAAATGAAAGAGAAATTCCCCTCACATTTCAAGAAATTTTTCCTCTGTTATTTCAGAGCATTTTATACCAATATCTACAAATCCTTCTTCATTGAACTGAATGGTGTTGCTGTGGGTGTAACACTGAGCCCTTTTTCTAAACTGTACTTTATGTTTGGCTTTTGGTAGCATTCCAAGTTTAGGCAACAATAAAGTTTTATATAGTATTCAAATGGTGGTTCAGCAATATCTTACAACATTTAATATTATGAATAACATTCTGGTCCAGGAATTGAGTAAGTGAGATAGCAATAATAGGTAGAGGATGATAACAATATTATTAGTTAATGGTCTGCTTTTTCAGGATAAGATGTTCAATTTCTAGAAATAGAAATAAAAATGCTGTCGTTGGGTATATAAAAAGGTGATTGAACCCAAGGGTGATGATGGTTTTTGTCCATATAATCATTACCTTGTGTTTTGTATGCCACTGGTAAATTTATGGCTATGAAATGCTCTATGAAAAGCTCTAAGATGATTACATTTTCTGATCATCAATGATGGGAACAATCAGCTTGTCCTCAGTTGTCTTAGATTCACCAAGATCTGCTAGGGTTGAATTTGACAAGCTTGTTTAAATAAACATCTTCATCTGCAAAAATACCTTCATTTGCATTTAAAACTCTACATGGGATAAATTAGCCTCAGAGATTAATTCTCAGGTAAAGCTATAGAATACAGCGGGGTTTTTTTTATTTCAGTTGCTTCTACCTTCTATATTTTGTTTCTCTCTCTCTCTCTTTTTTTTTTTTTGGTGAGGAAGATTGGCCCTGAGCTAACATCTGTTGCCAATCTCCCTCCCCCCTTTTTTTTTAAGAAGGACGTGCACCAGATGCACGGTCATTCACTCAACAGTGGTTTTTGTTTACTTCTCTGTGCTTTTAGGCATTTGCCCGTTTTTGTTTTTTTTTTTAAGCTGACATCTGTTGCCAATCTTCCTCCTTTTTTCCTTTTTTCTCCCCAAAGCCCCAGTAGATAGTTGTATGTCATAGTTGTACATCCTTCTAGTTGCTCTATGTGGGACACTGCCACAGCATGGCTTGATGAACGGTGCGCAGGTCTGCGCCCAGGATCCGAACCGGCGAACCCCGGGCCACCGAAGCAGAGCGTGCAAACACAGCCGCCACACCACCGGGCTGGCCCCCCGGGTATTCCTCTTTTTGCTTGAGGAAGATTGTCCTTTAAGCTACATCTGTGCCAGTCTTCCTCTATTTTGTATGTGGGATGGCTCACAGCATGGCTTGATGAGCGAGGTATAGGTCCTCGCCCGGGATCCAAACTCACAAATCCCAGGCGGCTGAAGCGGAGCGTGCGATCTTAACCACTACACCACCAGGCTGGCACGTTTCTCTTTGAAATAATGAAAATTGCCCATCAGAAAACATAGCTCAGCCCATTTCATATGCTCCTCAGAGGCTTGTCTGTTCTCCTTACACGCAATGTAGACACTACTGACTAGATAAATGCACTGTTGTGGTTCATTGTTTTACTGTAGTGAAAGTATTGCAGTCTTCATAACTGAACTGTACTTGTTGATATATCTTCTACCTTAAGGTACCACTGCCACATCTAGGCAATAGATTACCCTCTGCTGATGTCAATTTATGTTGACCATAATGCCCTTCTGAAATAAAACTGGTTATTTAAATACCCACATTGTGCCATTCTTCATGATCACTTCTTTTTTTTTTTTTTTTA